ATTCCTGTGCCCTTGTCAGGGTGACACAAACTTGCTCCAGGGACAGAGCAGCAGCTGAGGGAGCAGCCCAGGGGAGCCTTTATTCTAAAAATGCCTTTTAAACGCAGAGCAGCGAGGCTGGAGCTGGGAGGGCTCAAAAATGAGCGTGTTCCAGAAGGAATTCCTGCCTGGAACAACAGGACTGAATCCCAGCCTCAGGGGCAGGGAGGCTTTCCCAGAAGTGTGTCAGAGGTGCAGCTGCAAGGACTTTCCCATGATGGGCTGAATCAGAGAATCATGGAACGATCTGGGTGGGAAATGACCTTAAAATGGTTTTATTCCATCCTCCTGTGTGTGGGCACGGCTAAAACCCCAAATAAGGGAATGTGGGCGGGGAAAAACTCAAAAAGGGGAATGTGGGTGGGGCTAAAACCCAAATAGGCAATGTGGGCAGGGCTAAAACACAAATAAGGGAATGTGGGTGGGGCTAAACCCAAATAAGGGAATGTGGGTGGGGCTAAAACTCAAATAGGCAATGTGGGTGGGGCTAAAACCCAAATAGGGAATGTGGGCAGGGCTAAACCCAAATAAGGGAATTTGGGAGGGGCTAAACCCAAATAAGGGAATTTGGGAGGGGCTAAACCCAAATAAGGACATGTGGGTGGGGCTAAACCCAAATAAGGGAATGTGGGCAGGGCTAAACCCAAATAAGGGAATGTGGGTGGGGCTAAACCCAAATAAGGGAATGTGGGTGGGGCTAAACCCAAATAAGGGAATGTGGGTGGGGCTAAACCCAAATAAGGGAATTTGGGAGGGGCTAAACCCAAATAAGGAAATGAGGGCAGGACTAAAACCCAAAAAAGGGAATGTGGGAGGGGCTAAACCCAAATAAGGCAATGTGGGTGGGGCTAAAACCCAAATAAACGAACATGAGTGGGGCTAAAACCCAAATAAGGGAATGTGGGAGGGCTGTCTCATGGAAGGGGACACCTTCCCCTAAACCCTACTTTTATTCACCTTTTCTTGCCCCAAAATAAACCCCACAGCAGCTCCAGCCACGGAAATGCCAGCCAAACACAGCAAAACTATTTTGCCTCTTCCTCCCAAATTCAATGTGAAGGATTTGAAACATTTGGGGAGAAGGCTGTGACCTTGCTGCATTTGTAAATGAGCCAGAAAGGAGTAATGGATTACTTAAAGTCCCCTTCACACCTCCAGACACACAATGGGAAGCACTTCAGGCTCCTGCAGGAGCCTCCAGCGAGGTGATTTTTCATGCTGGAATTCAAACACCATTAGAAACACTCATTCTCTGGAAAATAATTCCAGCTTGGAAATAAAATAATACAAAAAAAAAAAAAAAATCAACAAAAAACCAGCAGTGAGAGCAGGAGCCAGGCAGGATCTGAGCTCAGGAACTCTGTCACAGCATTGTCACACCGACTTAACAAGGCAGGGAGATGCCAAGCAATAAAAAGCCTTTTTGCATTTAGATGGATTTTTCCATGCTGATCTCCCAGCTCAGGGCAGGCTCCCGAGCCTCTGCTCGGGTGGGATTGGGATTGATCCTGCTCAGGACCCTCCAGGAAACCCCAGGATGGGATCTGGGAGAGATCCCTGCTTGGTTTGACCAGGTTATTTCATTTAACCCAACAACTCCCAAATAATTATAATTATAAAATAATAATTAACTCAATAACCCAAATAATTCCCAATAATTCCCTGGCTCTGCATGCCACCATTCCCAAAACACAGCATCCCAAAGAAACAGCAGGAAACCTGCAAAAAAAGCCCAGAGGAAGATTCTCCTCCTTGCTGCCCATTCCCTATTAATTTCTGGAGATCAGGGAAAACTCTGTAAATCCAATATCCAACCCCACAGCATCAAATTCCAGCTGAATATTCCATTTATTTATCCCTGGCCCTCTACAAGTTTTTCCTGGAGTTTTGCTGCTCACATGGAGCTCTTCCCTTTCAAGAAGTGAAGGTCAGAGAGGCTGGAAACCAACAAGGAGCTTTTCCCATGGGATTGGGAATGAAGGAATTGCGGGATCATCCCACAATTTATCCCTCACTGCCCTTTATTGTCCCAAAAGGATTTTTATATCCAAAGCTTAGGACTGACCTTGATAATTCATTCTTTATATCCATTCTGTGGAGAACATTTTTTAGTCCGCAAAATTCCACAAAAGCAGGAAACTTCCAAGAGTTTCCAAATTGTTTGCTATTTCTACCAGAAGCACAAAACAGAAATAGATCTGACCTGAAAACTGGGATGTGGGGAATGCAAAATGACTTTATTCTCCTCTGACAGCAAATTTAAACCCTCAGTTTTAGCAAACCCAGCTTAAGGAACAGAAAAAACATCACCCCTCTGGAATCAGGGCAAGAATAATTCAGTTATCCTGGAGAACATGCCCAAATTCCAAGTTTTTAAAAGTAAAAACTCCGAGCAGAGGGCATGAGGCTCCTCCAGCACTGAAGGGTTGTGGAACTTTAGCAAAAAGGGCTAATTATAAACTCATTTTTAAGGATTTGTGGCCAATTAAACCTTTGCTCTGGTCTGCAATTTACTGTGGCACAAAACATCTCTGCAAACACGCAGTTGGGCTTTTTTTTTTTTTTCTCCCCCCATTCTCTGCAGAAGAAACAGCAGAACAAATTAAAGGAGAAAAGAAATCACTTTGAAGCAGTGAGATTAAAAATAATGGTCTCTCTTTAGGCATTTAAATACCTTTAAAATTAAACTGCTTTTAAACTCCACTTGCACAGCTTGGGAGTCCATAAAGTGTCACAGGAAAATAATTGTTGGAGCAGTTTGGGGCAATTCCAGGACTGGTGTGGTGGCCATGTGGGAGATAATCCCAAAAAACCTTGGAGAGGAGGAGCTGAGCACCTCCAGAAATCCCTCAGGAGGGGCAGATCCCTCTCTGGGACAGGGAATGGTGTCAGGATCTCTGCATCCACATCCTGACTTTTAGGATCGGGCCACAAAGGTCTGGAACAGGAGATAACACAAAGTTCTGCTTGATAAGAATTTTCCTTTTAAAAGGATAAAGAGGTGACATCAAAACCCTCTGGATTTTGTCCAGGGACAAAATGGAATCATCATTTCTGAGAGGAACTCGTGGATCCCACAGGGAAAAGTTTCTCTCCCACTGCCCCAGGCCTCTCCTCACCTTTGCCATGGGATGTTTCTATGGTCCAGGTGCAGTTCAAGTTGTTGGGATAAAAATCAGGGAAGCCTGGGGAGAGGATGGTGCCACTGGAGCCACGGATGTAGCCCCCACAGAGAGCTAAAAACACAAAAAAACAGGAGAGAAAGAGTTCAATAATCCAGAATCTTTCACGAGCTGGGAGGAAAAAGGAAAAGCAAAACACAACCCAGGAAAATCTAACAAAAGAGAATGATCGACCCAAATCCAATCAACCCAAATTGGGTTTTATTGGTCAAAATCCAACAAAATACATGGATGGATCCCCAAAATCCAACAAAACCCATGGATTAAACACCACTGGGAGCTTTCCAGCTGCTGATTTGGCAGTGGGTCTGCAGGGGAAGGGATTCCAGCAGGTGGAACCAACAAAAAGAGGAAAATCCAACAAAA